GATCCACTTTGTTGTCACCCCAAATTCGAAAGATACAGATGATTGGTAGACACATTATTCTTTGTTGGTGTCATGAATTCATAATACCATGAAATCAATGTTGTGATTAACTATCTCTGATGTCGAATTGGCCTCTGGGATGATTTGCGAATATGCCCATCGATTGTAAATAGACCCCATGTCTAACAACTCAAACGTGACCCAACGGAATACAAATAGAAGAGCATTATCATTATAACATATTGTGGTAAGATGAAGACATTTTGGTGTGTGTTTATCAGAATTGTACTTGTGCTTTTGTGATCGCTTTGAGTAGAAAGTGTGAAAAGAACAATTCTTTTGTTATTTATCAATTCTTGATGGGTCTTCGTAAAGCGTTTTACAGAATTGTAAAGAAATACTTATTTTGCTTATATGCAAAATCCACGGTAGAGCTTAGAGCTTAGGTCCACCATAGGATTTGCTTATAGGGTAACACTATCCTCTCTCTTTTGGTACGAAATATAATCAGTAAGCGAGTCTATGTATTTACCGAGCATACTGCATCTTTCTCTTCTCTTAGTTGTTATTGTAATATTTTATGAAAAAAACTGTTTAAATTAATAAATTCAAACTACATATAAAAACTTCTTTCACCCTCATTTTAAATCTCACTTTATCAAAATTATAATTTTTACTCTCCAAAGAAAAGTAAATGGATACGGCTTTATATATACGAAGTATGTTATTTTCTACTCCTTAAGCATTGTAGTTTCTTATGTAATGTTCTATTTGTATTGTAAAATCAATTTACTTTGATAAATGTCATCTTATTTTTAAAAACTTTCGGTTTTGGTTTCAATTTTTTAAATTATTTTTACATTAGTTCGTAAATTTTAAAACCAACTTAAATCGGAATACAATTTTATTGTGTTATTATTTTAAAATTAAGTACAAAGCATTAAAAATTTTACTAATTTAAAATTTAGTATTTTATAATTTTTTTAGGGAAAATTTATTTTATAATTAATTTATATTATTAGTTTAAGTTAATTATTTAAAAAATAATTGTATTAAATTTGTAAATAAGTATATGTACACCGCTACTTATAGTATGAAAAATATAATACTCCGTATTAGTAAAATTTAATGTGACAATGACGTGGATGAAGAAAAATATCCAGGTTAGGTTATCTAAACCCTCCACTTTCATAGACAAATTTGCTAGTTTCCACGTAATTAATTACTATACGAGTGTATTACGTAATAAATTAAAGAGTAAATTCTATAATTGGTCCTTTATAACAGGGGGTTTCCCTATTTAGTCATCCATTATCAAATATTACCCTAGTGGTCCTTTTTTTTATGGGTACCTTTCCACAAATAGTCCTTTTTTTATCTTCTATCATGTTGGTGTTAATTTGAGGGCTAAAAGTGTAATTTCACAATGATAATATATCTTTTTTGTCATACACAATTCCAAAGGCTGTTCCGTTTGCGTCGTTTGTGAATTACAGTCGCTTTTTACGACAACTATAGTCTACAAATGTGTCGTTCGTCAGAATCCTAGCCCACAATCATAGTCATTATTTTTGTGTTATCCGTTTAACCAATATCAGAACACGTCACTAGACATAATGTTGACATCAAATTATACTTTTAGCCTTTAAATTAACACCAACACGAAAGAAGATCAAAAAAAAGACCATTTATGAAAAGGTACCCTTAAAAATTAAAAAAAGGACTACTAAAAATTAAAAAAAGGACTACTGTATAATATTATTTGATAATGGAAACCCACCAGGGAACAGAGCACCACCTTTCACCTTCATGGATTTCTTCTTCTCTAAGATTTCTCTAATCCCATCGGAACCCTAAAAAATCCCCCAATTTCCTCCTCGCCGGAAAGTTCTCCGGTTCCATCACTGCTCTAACCTCTATCTGTATACTGATATAGTATACGTTTGTTTATAATTATACACACAGAGAGAATTGGAGTCGGCGGTGGCGATGAGCTGGAGGAGAGCGGCGAAGTCGTTGCAGGCACTTGTAGCTCACACCTTGCTTCTATGGTTTACCATCTTTCTGGTCCTCAAGCTTGATCGCATAATCTTCAGCTCTTGGTGGTTAGTGTTTTTGTTTAATTTGTTTTCATCATGTAACTTTATATTGAATAAGTTTCTGAGCTTTCTTGTTTGAATTATGAACTTTTCCATCTTTGTGTTTGAATTTTGAGATCAGAATTACTCAATTGCTTGTTAACGTGGACAAATTACTGTCACAGAACAATTACTCTTATGATGAATTATGTTCCTTAAAATCTGATAAAGCATACTTGGGGGTATGCAGGATAGTGTTCTTTCCTCTGTGGCTATTCCATGCAGTTGTTGCTCGTGGAAGATTCTCCCTTCCTGCTCCAGCAATTCCACATGACCGTCATGTATGGAATTTATTATATTCTACAAATCTTGATCGTTTGTATGATAGAACAGAATTGCAGATTTCTTTTGGTAGTGTTATTCTTACTGGTGTTTTTTTCCTGTTTGAATAGTGGGCACCGTGTCACTCTGTCGTGGCCACGCCATTGCTCGTCTCGTTTGAACTGCTTTTGTGCATCTATCTTGAGAGCTTATATGGTAAGAATCTAAGAAAGAATGAAAGAGAAATACCAATCTTTTCCAAGGCCATAATTGAACTTTCATTCCATTATCTGTATATACGGAGTATTTTCTTTTATGGGAAGGAAGATACCAATCTATTGTATTTGTCAGCCTGTCTCTCCTGCAGTTCTCTCTCAGCTTCCCACTTGATTGTCATGAATCATTGCTTTATTTAATATTGTTCTTTTTTCTCAATGTGCAGTCAATCATTATGCAGCTGTTGATTTAAAAATTGTGTTTCTTCCCTTGCTGGCTTTTGAGATAGCTATCTTAATTGACAACTTAAGGTATCATCTTCTGATACTCTTACCATTGTCATATACTTGTGATTCCTTTTGTTTCTTAACTATGAAACAGGTGAAATGGGGTAAGATGAACAAAATGAGTTATTGAGTTAACATGGACACATCTCAAGCCTGTACTTTTGTTTTCCTAACCTTGTTTAACGAATAATGTTACAAA